GACCGACCAGCAAACTACTCCGAAACCTCGTCCGCCCCCCATATGGTGTCCAAACATCAAGTCTGTGGCCCTACTTCAACAGATAATAGATAAAGTAATTGATGCTAAATCATACGTAATTAAGCCAAAGAAGAATAACATAGGTGTATTAACCCAATGCAGTGAGGACTATCGCAGAGTTATAGACCACTTTACTAAGCTGGAATTGGAGTTCCACTGCTACCAGCTTAAGGAGGACAAACCATATAGAGTCGTGTTCAAAGGGCTTCACTCCAGCACTGATACAACACTAATTAAAAAGGAATTGGAAACCAAAGGCCACACAATTACAAATGTGCACAACCCACTGAGCCGTATGGACAAAACACCGCTAAATATATTTTTTGTTGACGTGGCTCAGGCCCCCAACAACAAAGAAATTTTGGACATTCGAGTTGTCTGCAGGCAACGCTGCACAGTGGAACTGCCAAGAAGATACAACGACCTGACACAATGCCATCGCTGTCAAGAATTTGGACACACACAACGCTACTGCCACAAAGCTCCCAGATGTGTGCGTTGCGCCGGGAAACACGCATCCAAAGACTGCACCCGCGAAAAGGACCAGGCACCAACTTGTGTGCACTGTGAGTTACAGCACCCAGCCAACTATAAGGGCTGCCAAGTATACAAGCGGTTGCGCAAATTGCAATCCCCAGCACAAAAAAGGAGTCCCACACAAACACCGTCTACGGGTCCGAGTACTGCTTCCGAAATTACAAGGCCCCGGAGCATTACCCAAGCCACGAGCTTTGCAACGCCTATTAGTGGTGTTTCTTACGCACAGGCCGCTAGAGGTGGACCGTCAAATAAGAATACCACAAGTGACACTTTGTTCACTGAAATGCTTCAGCAACAACAACGTCAGTTTGACGCAATTAATGCCGAGCTCAAAGCGATGCGAGAAGTACAATCCCAACAAGCAACCATGCTAAACAGTTTAATGGCCATCATAACCAAGCTTGCCTACAAATAATGGCTTTACGTGTGGGTATCTGGAACGCCAATGGCCTGAGAAACAAGACTCAGGAACTGGCTGCGTTTCTCTCACAAGAAAACATAGATATAATGTTAATAACAGAAACTCATGAGTGCCCCACTACACAAATTTTCGGATACGAACACTATCAGGCTCATGGTGAAGGAGCAAACTGCTTTGGTGGATCCTCAATCCTCATACGAGCAACAATACCGCATACACCTTTACTGCCAATTTGCAACGCAACAATGCAGGTCTCAGCCATCACCCTGCCTACGTCTATTGGAGCGATCGAAGTTGCGTCAATTTATCTTCCGCCAAACACTGGTCTGTGTGATCATCACATGGAACAGGTTCTAGGCCAAAGGTTGAATAAGACCCTCATCGGCGGCGACTGGAATGGATGGCACCCATTTTGGGGAAGCAATAGTGCGAATCGTCGCGGAGAAGTCATATTTGAGGCGATTCAAAACTTACAATTCAGCATATTGGCGACTGGAGCCCCCACCCGTTACCCAATTAATGGACACAGGCCCTCGGCAATCGACTTCGCTGTCTACAAAGGCATCTGTGACCGGCAATTGACCATTGAAGAATCCTTGGACCTATCCTCTGACCACCTGCCACTAATAGTCACAATCCACGCGCAGCCACAGCCCTTGCCCATTAGGAAACAACTACTGCCAGCAGGATCAGATTTAGGAGTCTTTAGGCGCGAGCTCCATTACTCTTTGCACATAGAAATGGAACTTAACACTCCTGAAGACGTGGACTACGCAGCAAACAAACTGCAGGAAGAAATAGTCAAAGCTGCGCACCAAGCCGCCCCACCATCTTGCCAAACAAGACAACAGTCTCCGTACAACATCCCCCTCACCTTGGAGGCCCAACACCTACTAATACACAAAAGATGGGCCAGGAGACGCTGGTTAAGATTACGCACGCCTGATGCCAAATCCATGTACAACGAAGCCACGAGGCATCTTAAAGCTGCTCTCGCCCTGCTTCAAAAGAGGTGTATCAGCGATGCGCTGGTACGAGCTGAATCGCCCACTGACGCAGAGTTTCAATTATGGAAATTTACAAGAAAGCTCAAACGGCAGCCAATACGACGTCATCCCATTCGGAGCATTTCTGGTTCCTGGCACATTGGAGACGAAGCTCAAGCTGAGGCTTTTGCAAACCACCTTCAAGACCAATTCACGCCGGTGATTACCGCAGAGGCCTCAGAAATCGAAGCAACAGAAGACATCGTTCTCTCGCCCCTCCCAGCTGAAGACCAGATAACTGGATGTACAAAAGAAGAGGTTCTTGAACACATCAGAAGAGTGAAGGCAAAAAAATCCCCTGGATATGATCTAATAAACGGCAGAGTCCTTAGAGCACTGCCTGACTCCACCATAGACTACATAACTATGGTGTACAACGCCATGCTCCGCATCCGGCACTTTCCAGCCTGCTGGAAGCGCGCCGTGATTGTGATGACTCCTAAGCCTGGCAAACCCGTGGGAGAAATTGAGTCGTACAGACCAATTAGCCTGTTGCCAGTACTCTCCAAAATATTCGAAAGAATATTTCTGGAACGAGTACTGACACATCTGGGACGCCAGGAGGCCATTCCAAACCATCAGTTTGGCTTCAGGAGACAGCATGGAACACCGGAACAGGTTCACAGAGTTGTGCACCATATCCTTGGAGCCTTTGAAGAAAAGATGTACTGCTCTGCCGTCTTTTTAGACATCAAACAGGCGTTTGATCGAGTTTGGCACCTGGGACTGCTGCAGAAAGTGAGGACCACCCTTCCAGCCCCATTTTTCGCGTTGCTATCCTCATACCTTATTGGAAGAACCTTCCAAGTGTCAAGGGGGCAAACAGTATCCTTGACTAGACCAATTATGGCTGGAGTACCACAGGGTAGTGTTCTAGGCCCAACACTTTATACTTTATTCACAGGAGATATGCCAACTCCCGAGCCAAATATAGGAAGTACAGATGCAGTACTCATAGCGACCTATGCAGATGACACCGCCATCTTATCACGTCACGTATCTGCGCAAGAAGCTTCAGACTCACTACAAAAATATCTGGACTCTTTCGGACGCTGGGCAAAACGGTGGTGTATCACCATTAATGCACAAAAGTCTGTACATACTACCTTCGCCACTAGAAGAGGAGATTGCCCAAGCGTTGCATTGGGGCCCACTATTCCCAAAGCCTCAAAAGTAAAGTACCTTGGTATCACTCTTGACAGAAGGCTGACTTTTAAAGCGCACATAAGTCAAGTAACCTCAAAATGCAAAAGCAAGCTAAAAACCCTCGACTGGATGCTGAGAGCTTCAAGCAAGTTGTCTTACAGCAGCAAGGCCGCCATCTACAAGGCAATAGTTGTCCCAACCTTCGTATATGGTATCTCTCTATGGGGCTCCTCGGCGAAGACTACAAGGAACAAAATTCAGACCCTGCAGAATAAAGCACTACGCAGATGGACTGGAGCCAGCTGGTTTGTAAGAAACTCAGTCTTACATAGGGATTTAGCAATTCCCACAGTTGCTGAACTCATTGGGCGACACAGTTCAAGATACGCGGACAGACTTGCAGCGCATCCTAACCATCTCGCAAGCAACCTGGCTATAAACAACAATAGGCGAAGACTGAAGAGATTGCATCCTCTAGACAATATTAGAACTAATTAAGATAGTAGCTACAAGTGCAGAATAATTGGCATATCTGCCCTCCCATTAGTTAAGGTTTAGAGCTAAATGCGCTATAGAGTCTAAGACAATAAGCTGCAACAAAATAAAGAAATAAATATATTGCCTAAAAAAAAAAAAAAAAAAAAAAAAAAAAACAAATATTTAACTTTTTAATTCAACAAAATTAGTTGATAACATAAATAACTAAGGGCGCATGTTAAATAGACATTGGGCTTTAACTCGATAACAGTACCAATTGAGCATTATCTCTATAAGCGCATCTTGCCTCCTGCTCTAGCTGCATTCCCCTACCACCAACAACCACCAACCGTAACGCTTAACAGCTGATAATCGGCAAGGCATTCGACTGAACTGGTTTGCCAACTAGAATTCCCAGAACAGCAGCAACAACAACAACAACAGCAATATCAATAAAAGTGCACAGGTTAAACAATGTTGCTGCTTGTCGACCCCATACAATGTAGAGTGTGGAGAGAGGCATAGAGTAAGCGTGAGAGAGGCAGAGGGAGAGAGAGCGGAAGAGGCCGATGCTGCTGCTGCTGCCGCTGTCACTGGCTGTGATGGATTCACTCTAGTTGTTCTTTTTGTTTGCATTGTTGTTCGTCGTGTACTCAAGCCGATAACTCACACAAAATGCACTTGCAATATATGTGTAGATGTATGTTGCATGTATATGTGTGTGTGCGTGCGTGTGTACTTTGTTCAACAGCAAATATTATTAAAATTGTCATTGTTATTGTTATTAATGCTGAATACAGCACACACACACACTTGCAGTTCCATACTCATGCTGTGTGTGCGTGGTACAACAGTGACCCCTCGCTATTAGGTTTTTATATCATGAGCAATCATTTTTGAAGAGGAGGTTTAAAAGATATTTTATACTTGCATTGAATAGAAAAAAAATGATGTGAAGTAAACAAAATAAATTAATAAAAATGAAGAAATAAATGTTGAAAAGAAGCGTACGATTTAAATAATAAATAAATATTATTAATAAAGATGTGAAATATGTAAAGACAAACTTAAAACACATATTGTTATAGACTTATATAAATTATAAAATATATACTCAACAACTGAAGTACTTTTTTTTTAAGCTTTTTGACAGACTTGAGCCCAGTGTGCGGACACAGTGCAAAGCACAGTTAGGGCAGCGTAATGCGAATTATGTAGACATACATACAGACATGCATGCATACCTACATGCATGTACATAGAGAGCTCATGAATATCAATGCAGAGATCGACAGAACCGTTACTCGGCTGCTCGGCTCGGGTGGCAATCCGATGGATGTTTCAAGAGGCGCTTGCAGCACACAAAAGAATTCTTTTTCAATTTGGCTGTGAAACAACGAGCAACGAGTGCCTCGATAAGAAATATACATACTTACATATAAACGTATATATGTATGCATAATAAACATAAGTAAAAAACCAACAGACGCTGCTGCTTCTTATAAATGTAACTGCAATTGCAACAGCAAGTTAGCAATTAGCAAAATTGATCAACACTAAGAAGCGGAACTAAAATCGATTCGCTATCAAAAACCAATCGAATTCGTGCGAACCACTTGACGAACGCACGCAGGAAACGGCAGGAGAAATAGGAAAAAAGCAGGGAGAAAAGTCAAAGGAGAAACAATCAGACGATAAAGCAAGCAACGAGCGAACAAACAAATCTTGCAAGTGCCTTGAGTGAGTGTAAGTGTGTGTGTGCGTGAGTGTGTGTGTGTGTGTGTGCGTGCGTGTGAGAAGTATTGTCTGCGTAAGTGTGTGTATATAGGTGTGCGTGTGCGTATGCATGCGTGTATGTTGTTTCGTATAAAATGAGATAACAACAAAACGCACAGCAGTCACAGCCGCAGCCACAGCCACAGTCTGAGTCGGGCGTCTGTGTCTAATTATAGAACACTGGTCGCTAAAAATACAATTCACATCGATTCGCCCCGTTGCCGCTGTACCAGCAGCCAGTCACAAACACTGGCAAACAAATCATTAACAGGCAAACCACAACTAACTTAACGAAACGGGAGAGCGCGTGCCAAAAACTGCGAGTGAGAGAGAGAGACATAGAGATAGAGAGCGCGCAAGAGGTTACAATTTCGTAATAAGTGTGCAGGCCAAGCAGCTGATTGTTTATTTAATATTACCGATAGCCAGACACAGACATACACGCACATACGCACACAGTAACAACGTCGATGGCTTAAATGTAGGCGTGTACCGATCGTCGATAGCTGAGTTGAACAAACAAAAGGAATTAAAGAAAGAGGGCTGCAAGGGCAACAGCACGAGAGCTTAGTCAGCGAAAGCCCCCAACAAAAATACCAGCAGCAGCAACAGCAACAACAACAACAACGACAACAGTAAAAGCAGGAGTCAACGCAGGAACGCAATTGTAGCTACACTTGACTGTGTGAGTGGAAGAGAGGCAGCCAGAGAGTGAGAGAGCAGCGTAGCACAGCGCAGCGCAGTTTGATATTGGAAAAGAGAGAGAGAGTGAGAGAGAGTGTGTCTGCCTGTGCGCGCCTCTGTCTGTCTGTCTGTCTGTCTGTGCAAGTCGCTTGATCAACGATCAACGACACGCCGAGCCTGTTCATCAAAGCGCGTTCCAAATCCAAGCCAGACGCATCGTTGGGTCGTGCGCTCCAACGCAAAAAAAAAAGAAAAAACAACACACATCAGTCATCAGTCATCAGTCATCAGTCGGCGGTTGGTCGCGCACCAGGATCCCACCGAACCTTCAAGTCAAAAGCGAAGAGAAAACTAAAGCAAGAACAACAACAACTGCGAAATGCAACAAAATCGCAAAACTGCGCGCGAGCTATACAAGAACCGTACTCCAAAAACACGCCCGAACACACTAGCACCGACTCTGTTAACCAAATCATAAACGATATCAATTAGCCAGGCCCGAAGGCTCACTAAAGTTTATCTTTTCTGTTATATTATTTTATTAACATTTATTCTATATACTTTTTTTTTCTTGTTTTCGTGCTAATCCCCAACCATCCTGTATACACAGTATATATAAATCTATATATATATATATCCATATATATACATAAATGTGCACTTCTGTTATTTAATATTTTTTTTTTCGTGACAAATAACCAACAACAAACAATTGTGATTTTCGAAACTGTGTGATTGCAAAAAGAAACGACAACAAAAAGAAAGTTCCTTAAGCAAGTGATAAAGCTCCAAAAGAAAGACAACAACAAAAGCATCTTCATTACATATATATATATACATACAGCTATATCTATATACCTAGAGAGAGAGATTTCCGAGAAATATTTTCAACAAGGATCAACAGCTTTCTGACATGCAAAAGTAAGTGAACTAGTTTTTACTTCCTCAGGGAACTGGATCCTCGATATATCTGAAATTTGTATCTTCATTTTAATAGAGTTTTTTAGCACGGCTTGTACTAAAAAATGTATTTCAAATAAGTATGCTACATGAAATCAAGCAAAACGTATAGGCAAATATGTCATAGGTATATATATTAATATAGCAGTACGATTAGCTGAGCTGAGCTCTTTCCGCAGTGACCGATCGCTGTCTAAGAGAGCCACGTGGATGCTAAATTTCGTACCGTCCTACAAGTTTTGACTGTCAAAACACGAACAACCTTGGGGTCCATGAAATATGTTGCTTGTCAAGAGAATATGCTCAATACTATATTGAATGGTATCTCCCTCTCTCTCCCTCTCTATTAATTTTTGAATTCATTTTTGTTGTTTTTTGTTTTCTCTTTGATTTTCATTTAAAAACAACAATAAATTTTGTATGTTCCAGATGATAAGCTGAGCTCGCGTTTATTTTTAACCATTGAAGTTTATGTATATATATATATATATATATATATATATATATATATATATATATAAAGCAAGAAGAAGCAGAAAGAGTCTGTAGGGAATGGGAAACACAATAATATTTGATATTGATAAGAAGAGACGCCGACGCCGACGTCGACGTCGACGCAGATGCGAATGACTCCAACTGTTTGTTATTTGTTGTTATTTTTAGACTTGGCACGCTATAAAAATACAAACACAATATCAGACAGAAATGATATTACATAGATGATATGGGTAATACTTGCGTCAAAACATATATGCGAGAAGGAGCCAAGCAAAAGGTTAAATCCGGTTTCAATTGAGGCATATGTTCACGTTTTGGATATAACATCAAATGGAATGTAAATATATAGCATATATGCTATGTATGCCATATATATTTATATGATTGGTGCGTTTTATAGTTCCAATTGAAGCTAACCCAGCTAGAAATAAATAAAAATTCAAATCTTAAGAGACTTTATTCGAAATGTAGTATAATCCTTTGAATCGAGCAATGGGGCTTACTTTACTTCCTGCTTGGGAATCCTTTGAATTCTAGTTTTGCGCTTCTACCTTTCTGGGTAGATACTACAGATGGGAAACCCCTGCTTAGGCCTTGTTCGAGTTGCCTTGAGCTAAATTTTCTCAAACAGTCCATAGTCATGCCCTATGACTGATCATATATATATACGATTTATATACATATATATAAATATATATGACTAATAATATAATATACACCCAATCCAATCTCACTTATAGAAATCTAACTGTTAATCTCTTTGCTTCCAGATGATTTTCTCAGTGTCTAACTCAAGTGTCCTCTCCCTGCTCGCCATGCTAGTGTGTCTGGCAGTCGGTCTGTCCCTGGTGTGCAGCACGCCGATCGCATTCACGCCAGAGCAGCTGGAGATCAAGCATCGCTGCAGCAAAGATCTGGACGAGACCATCCATCAAATCTGTAAGGGACGCACCATGTCGCTAGCCGAGCTCTATCGTAAGTCCGATTGCATATGCCTCTGTATAGCTGTCACTAATCGGAACCGATCTCTTTGCATACATCTATATACACATAAATAGCTCAAAGCTTTGGCAGTCGGACCAAGCGATTCGCTGCCAACGGCACCTACTACAGACCCTTGCAGAATGGACCCATCCACGAATGCTGTGTGCGACCCTGCGGCTATTCCGAGATACGTCAATATTGTGCGCCCGACTAGGGCACGAGAGACATGCACTCTCTATCTAACTATATAAATATATATATATATATTAGGCAATGCCCACACACACACACATTTAATTTGAATAGACACACACACACACACACACACACACCCATACACTAAGTATATTGTACTAATTTAAGCTATGCACTAATAAAAATTTATACAATTATGAGAGCGCAATGCGGTCCACTAAAATCCAGTCCGAAGCGAGACTATATTATATATATATATATATATATAGATATATATATATATATATATATATATATATATATATATATATATATATATATAACCCCATTAATGCATTCTTTTCACTTGGCTACTTGAGTTTTATCCAGTTTGGATTGGTCCCACTTGAGTGGGCAGCAGATTTTTGTATACCCTGCACTCGCTCAGAGCGACTGAGCAGGGGTATATAGCTATGACTGTGCAGCCAATATAGTATCTGTTATATATAAAAATCTTCAATCTGCTACAGAGACTCCTCTATCGACGCGTATGGCCAATAGCAGGGCATCTGCTAGTCAAGCATGCCCCGCTGGCGCGCACTCACGTGCCTGCTGGCACAGTTTCCACAGCGTCTTCCGACTGCTTGATTAAGATAAGCTCTCTATCTTGATTATCAACTAGCTAAATATATCTTTAACACTACATTCCAAGCGCTTTCGCATCATACTCACAGATCAGGTTTCCCCCCGCCTAATTGCCCTCTCTTTCTTTAACACTCTTAAAAGATTCGATGCAGTAAGAGCTCAAATGGGAAGCTGATGCTCCATATAGACACTCATATGTATATGCATATCGAGGTTTGTTTGTGTTTGTGTATATTGGTGATATATATAAATATGAACAGTCGACGGCTTCGCATGGAACTGCTTAGACGTCTTATCCTAACTGTTATACGAGTCTATTTTATATCGGAATTGTGGTACTGTTATACCCTTTTCTTTTCTACCCATCCATATGTGTGAATGAATTCCATCTCAGTTTTATAAAACTGTTATACTGTTACACAACTGTTATAAAACTGTTATACTGTCTATCTTCCTATATTTGATTTTTGTTAGAATTGTTATACTGTTTTCAAATGTAGATATTTAACATTTAATTCTTACGTAAGCTGTCATATGTACTGCTTTCTATTATATGTGTCTTGCAGAAACTGTTATACTTTTAATTTTCTACATAATTAACTTTTTTATAAGCTATTCGACTCCAAAAAGAACTGTTATAATATTTTAATTGCTTGCCATTTAATTCTTATTTTGATATATATATGTTATAAGACATATATATGTGCAGATATACACTGTTATATTCACTTCAATGGACTCTAAAATTCTTACTAAGCTGTTATACTCTTCTATGTCTTATTCATGGAATTCCTATATAAACTGTACATATATATACATATATATATATATATATATATATATATATATATATATATATATATATATTTGATAATCTCAATTAATTACTTTACATAATCTACTTATAATTGTATCTGGTTAGATTTCTTGAATTTAATTAGTGCTTTTTAATTCATTATTGCTCGTCATCTCTTTGTGCTTCCTATCTCTCTCTCTCTCCCTCTCACTCAACCCCTTCATTCCCCCCCCCCCCCCCCCCCCCTCTTATACGCAGTCTTCATTAATGTCCTTTAGCTTTCTAACCTACAAACAATTTCAGTAGAGGAAGAGAGAGAGAGTGAGAGAGAGAGCGCGGGAGCGAGAGCGGCATTTAACATTATTGCCATGGGTAGGTTTCCCTTTTTTATTTATTTTTTTTTTTTTCAATCTAGTCATAAAATACGCTTCGTTGACCTTTTTGGGAAGGAAGTGTGTGTGTGTGAGAGAGAGAGAGAGAGAGAGAGAGAGAGAGCGGGAGGGAGGGCGTTGTAGACATTGGACACTGAATGGGGTCAGATGACTGCAAATTATGTCACAAGCGGCAATTCAGATGATTTTAATGATGGCGAAATCAACTACACATGGGAATTGACCGAACGCACACACACACACTGGTATAGAAAACACCCTGCTCACAGCTTAAGTTACACACACACACACACACACACACACACACAAGTGATTGCCTGCGACTAAATAAAGCAGTTCACATATGCAATGCTTGCTGTGCGCTGTCGAACATGTTCGAACCGAGCTGAACTTGCAGTTGCAGTTGGAGTTGGAGTTGGAGTTGGAATTGGTTCCTGGATCGCGAGCGCCAGAGATCAGCGATTGGCATTCATTTGGCAGCTGTCTGCAAGCACTGTACAACACAGCTTTTTAGCCGTAGTCCCAGCAACGTCCTAATCTCCGCCAAGGGGCCCCCAGGTGTTTTCTGGTATTACAATGCCTACTCAAATAAGAAAATCAACAATTTTGCTGATTTATTCAGAATTATTTAAGTGTTCAAAAAATCATGCGAAGAGCACGCATTTTCCTTTAAGGCGAGTTGCTTACAGGACCTACTTTGCATAGATAAAGTGAGTGTTCCGCACGCCCACTCACGGACACACACACACTCACACACAATCGCATTCAAATTTAGTCAAATGATTTTGTACTCAAGCGTCGCGACGGACACTCAACAGAACCATAAAATCAAGTTGCGCCAACAGTTCGAACCGCAACGAGTCGAGCAACAAATACCCTACAATCGCGCTCAGCTGTGCAGCTTCTAGGCGGAAGGTAGCTATAATAGATGGAGCTATCTTAAGTCTCTTTATTTTTTTCCTTTACCCCTCTCTCTCTCTGTCTCTGCCTTTCTCTTTATCTACCAGATTCAGGTATTTTATCTGTCGGAGCAACTGAACTGGCTTTCTCTTTCACTCTTTCTAATTCTTTCTCTCCCTATCTCTCTCTCATGATACAGGTCTTTATTTTTCTCCCTCTCGCTCTTTCTCCTCGTTCTCTCTCTGCTCCTATCTTCTCACTCTCCTACTTTCTCATTCACTCTTTTTCCTTCTCTTTCGCTCTCGCTCTCTTTTTCTCTATCTCTCACTCTGTCTCTCCCGCCCTTATGAGCACGCTGCTTTTTCAAGTGAATGCCTTCAACTCGTTGCCCAACGAGCTATGCCCACTCAGCGTAGAGTATTTACAAGCTGTAATAAGAGCGCAGCCCGAAACGTTTCGATATACCAAAGAAAAAAGGGGGCGACTGAGTCGAGCGAAGGACTTTATTTCTCTGCATACACATATTTGCGTGTATGTGCGTGTGTGTGTGTGTGCTTTTGTGTGTGTATTGCCTGTCTTTGTGCTTCAGACGGAAGTCGTGGCCGTGCAGGGAGAGGAAGAGGGAGAAGGCGAAACACGAAGTTGTTTGCCCTGGTGTTGAGAAGTTTGCCTTTACTTTTTTGCCATGCGGCAAGCGCGGCATGTGGCATGTGGCGTGCGGCATGCGGCATGCGGCAAGTGTGTGAAGGGGCGACGCAAGTGACATTGATGAAACGGGCCGTAGAACATTAGCCAAATACTGCAGAAATTTTGCACTAGACTGTGTTTACACGGGGGTGGCTAGCGACACACAACTGGAAATATATATATCTATGTGTGTATGTGTGTGTGGGTGTGTGGCTGCTTGGTATGGGTGTCTGAAGCAACAGAAGTCGTACAAGGACAAAATTGCAAAAGCAAGTCAACAGCAGCAGCAGCAGCAGCCGCTAAAGGAGTGTCACAGAATATTGTGGCAGCGGCTCGAACTGACTTCAAAGCAACGTCAGGTGGGCGTCACTGGTGGGCGTCACATAATGACAACTGTATTAGAGGCACGCATACATAGGCACATATTGATATATAGCTAGATACATACATATGTCTGCCCCCAAAGGCTGAGCTGTAAGTGAGACACTCAATTTCCTGTGAAGCGGAAATCGCATCAAATGCTATCCGAAAATATAAAATAACATCTATATAAGGCGCGATTTCTCGATTTCCTCAACAAGCATTTCGCATATTGGCACTATCATTTATCTTTGGATTATGGCACAGAGCTGGGGTAGAGCTCATGAAATTGATAAGATCCCAATCAATCATTGAGTCAGTCAATCATTGAGTCAGTCAATCATTAAATCAGTCAATCACTGGGTCAGTCAATCATTGAGTCAGTCAATTGAGTCAGTCAATCATTAAGTCATTCAATCATTAAATCAGTCAATCACTGGGTCAGTCAATCATTGAGTAAGTCAATTGAGTCAGTCAATCATTAAGTCATTCAATCATTAAATCAGTCAATCACTGGGTCAGTCAATCATTGAGTCAGTCAATTGAGTCAGTCAATCATTAAGTCATTCAATCATTAAATCAGTCAATCACTGGGTCAGTCAATCATTAAGTCATTCAATCATTGAGTCAGCCAATCAACCAAAGTCTTCTGGAGAGCAATCAGTCACTGAAGCATGCAGCCAGCCAATGATTTCATCACTCAATCAATCCATCAATCAGTGAGTCACACAGTTTGTCACACTATCAATCACTCACTTAGCTCAGCAATAAATCAGTCACTCAATTATTCAATCTGTCAGATAGTTAGTCAATCAATCTGACAATCATTCAGTCTGTCAATCAGTAGCAGTCACTCAGTAAGTCTGCCTTTCAATCATGAAGTCAATCAGTCAGTTTGTACGACAATCATTCAGTTACTCAATCATGCAATCTACTAATATAAATATTAGTCAGTCAATCAATCAAACAGTTTGCAATCAGTCTGTCCTGAATTCACTCAGTCAATCAGACAATTTATTGGTCAATCAATCAAAAAGTCAAAAAATGCATCATACAATCAATCAGTCAATCAACTGCTCTCTCAATCCTCGCTTTCCCAATCTGTTCGGATCAATCAATCAGGCAAACTGCTATTCAATCAATCTGTCTGTCAGTCAATCATACAATCCTCGCTTCCACAAGCCTTTGTTTCACTCAGTCAATTGGTGAGTCACTCAATCAATCAGTCTGACAATCACCTACTCAATCAATCAATCAATCAATCAATCTGAAATCCTTCAATATTCCATATTCGATAACCATTCGATTAGCATCCAGGCCAGAACCGATTTCCATTGAAACAGTGTTGAACAACACTCTTGTGACACTTCCTTGTCATGGCTCTTGTAACATGTTCAACACTCGTGGCAAGGAAATGTCAGAGTCGAACTGAACTTGATTTAGTCGAGCACTCAGCCTATCCAACTAAGGCTAGCTCTCTTTAACTAAAATTTCCGATTTTTCTAGAATACCCAAAGCAAAAAAAAAAAAAAAAAAGAGTTTTTCTTTTGTGGTTTCCGCTTGGTAGTTAGCCATGGGTCGTCCGCGCAGCATTGAGATCAACCAATTGGTGGAGGTGTTGCCCAATAAGCAGTATTGTCGCTGCATTCTCTGCGACAAGACGCTCAGCGGGGCCGTCAGAAGCAACATCAAACGGCACTACGAGCGACTCCATCCGGAAGTAGCGCTGCCCAAGCCCAAGAAGCGGAAATATTTAGGCCAACTGAAGCTTCCGAAAAAGGGTAGGAATATGGAATGCAGAAAGTGAAAAAAAATAGGATAGAGAGAACAAGAGAGAGAAAGAGAGAGAGAAATATGAATAGAGATAGAGAAGATAGAGAGAGAGACAGAGCGCGAGAGAAAGAAAGAGAGAGCTCTCTAGAGAGATAGTAAATAGATATAGAGAAAGAGAGCGAGAGCGAGAGAGAGATAGAGAGAGAGAGATAGAGAGAGACAGGCAGAGAGAGAGAAAGAAATAGAGAACAGAAAGAGATAGAAAGCGAAACTTCAGAAACTCTCCTCTAATCCAATTGCTCTCTCTCAATCCATCATTCTTGGATGGTAGGAAATACTCCATGAGAGAGAGAGAGAGAGAGATAGCGAGAGAGCGATTGAGAGTCGTGCATAGTGCGCACTGTTAACACCTATAATAACAATATCAATTGTCTCTGCAGTTAAGAACGAGGAAATAGATCATACCGGGAAGGTGACCAAGTTGAAGAATCGCGTGCGCAAGTGCATTGTGGACTGGAATCCAGACGTGGTCCAGTCGCTCATCGACAATGTGAGGAAGAACGAGAACTTGTGGAACCCGAGCCACTGCTTCTACAAGGATCGCATCATCACCCGTAATTCGTGGGAGAGCGTCGCCACCATCATCGAGGTGCCAAAGAGCGAAACGATTCTCAAATGGCATTCCATACGTTCCAGCTACAGAGTGAGTCGAACTACCATTTGGCCTATATATATACAGTACGCTGATCTAGGTATGGAATGGAAGAGAGCTATAGATATTCCAATCTAGCTATAGACTACGTACTCTATTCTAGATCTGTAAATATATAATATAAATATAAATATATCCGACCTAGTCTATATAGGAGTAAACATATCTCATTTGCCCAACTTTCCAGAAGTAAATCGATATATACTTTAAATATGACTATACTCTTTGGCCCCCAATTTCAGACCCATTTGAAGAACATTCAGGAGGGCCGATCCGGGCAATCGCTTAAGGAAAAGAAGACTAACCCCATCTATGCCCAGATGTCGTTTCTAGATGCCATCATGAAATTTCCATCCGCAGTTGCCAAAACAAGTACCGTAAGTTGACTCTATATAATATAATGACTGTATTGGATCGGTGTCGCTTCTGCAGCTATTGGAGAAGACTCTGCCCATTAGGAAGCAGAAACAGCAAACGTTATCTTTCCAACCGAGCCCGAGATCCAGCAATCGCATTTGGGATGATAGTCTTAGGAAGATGGAGCCCATCCAGGCGCTAATAGCTGGCAAGCTGATCAGCAGTATCCTAATCCAAGGTCAACTTGGTCAATTGACTATGAGCAGCTATATATCGCACTCGAGTCCCCTGCATCTGCCGACCTATCGTAAGTTCGATTTTATACAGACCTGCCTTGGGCCACATATACCCACTTAGTTAGTTGCTTACATTCACCTGGAACTCAAAGCGAGTCAGTTGTTCGTCATTTGAACGAAACCGGTTCACGAACTGTTAAAGGAACTAATTCAAGCTTGGAGCATTAGAGAACTGGTTCATATGGCAAACAAAGCGTACAACGAAATGCCAAATATATGTATGTATATACATATATGTAGTTGAATCTATTTCTGTTTGTATGTATATATGTATGTATGTATGTATGTGTGTATGTATGTGTATATGTATGTATATACATACACACATTTATCCATATGTGTTTTCAATAGAGCTACCTCGACTTGGACGTCCGATGTTTGAATATGTTGACAGAGAGGATTACGTGAACAATCAGCATAATACGGATATAAGCCTGACCAGCAGCAGCGAGACGGATGCAGACATCGCAGCAAACAGCACGAGTCAAAGTCAAAGTCCATGCGAATCATTGGTACGTACAAAAGGGACATCATCAGCATACGCAAATACATACACACACACTCACGCACACATGCAAGCATAGTGTCAGCAAAGTGCTTTCACGGAACTATAAAAGCGTTTGTGTGTGTGTATGTGTGAATTCAATTGAACATCTTAATGATTTGCAAGCGAAAACACACACATACACACACACACACACACACACACACACACACATGGATGCACAAGTCGCTCTACTGTCTCCCCCTCTCTCTCTCTTTAATTTGAATTTCATATGATGTTAAGCAGGATGGCGCGGATACGTTTAATCAGCTGTTTAGCAGCTTAGCTTAATTTCAATTGCGTGCAAAGCTTTGACTTTCTGCTGTTGTATTTGTTTTGGTTATTGCTTTTGTTTTTGTTGTCTTCGAATTAAAGTTTGACTAGCTGAACAACAACCACAATGCATTGAGTAAGAAACAAACACATAAATGACCCTCAGATTCCATAACGTGTTTAAGCGCACAACGCCAACAACAACAGCAAGCAGTAGCAGCGTCGACGTCGACGACGGCAGCGACAGCAACAGCAGCAATAACAACAGCAAAATGCAAGCACAACAACAACAAGGAGAAACCGTTTCAAACCGGTTCGGCGCGTCGTATGCTCTCAACTTGCTCTTCGCTTATGCGAAAGTATGTGTGCGCGCTTGTTTCTTACGACTTTGTGTATTGGTGTGCTTGCATCAGTGTGCGTGCTCCAACTACGAACCGTTTGCTGTGAACCGCACTCAGAGCGCTCTTTTTTAGCAGATTTGCGCGCTGCGACCGAGGCGTCAGAAGCGCTGGAGTGCGAGCGAGAGGCTACTAGTGACTAGCTACTACGTATATTGCGTGCCTGGCACCGGTTCATGAATTGGTTCCTACTCTGGTTTGACTCTCTCGCAGCTCTGTATGCTGCTCGTTCAGTAAACGAACGATACTCAAGTATGACGCACGCTTTTCTGTTGTTTATTTTGGAACTTGTCGTCGTTGTTGTTGTTATTATTTAAATAATATTTGTCGTCGTTTGCCGTTTTGTTATTGTTGTTGTTATTATTTTTCTTATTATTACTGTTGTTGTTGTTGTTAAGAGTAATGTCGCCTAAGCGTTGCAAGAATCCAGTTAACAATCATTTCATTTACAACGACGAGACACACAAAAGCACATGCAAAGTATGCCTGTTCGATATGGCCGGCAGGCACTCGGAGAACCTGATGCGCCATCTGAAGCGCAAACACCCGGCCACGTACGCCGAGGTAATGTTAGAGAAGCAGCGCCGACGATCAGCCAATGCAAATCGATCCGGCTCATCGGATGCGGCGGGTCCATTGTCATCCATGTTCAAATTCGAGACGCAGCCACACAAATTGTTCATCAAATCGGTAAGACGTAAAACGCTCTCTTACTATCTCTCTCTCTCTCTCTACAATATATACATAGTATGCTACTTGTCTTCAGTTAATAATTCCTATTTTATACTTTATCTTTCATACATATATATGCACATATATATAATTATATAAATATTATCAAACCAAAAGGAAAAATTGGTATTCAGACTTGATGAACCGGGTCAACAACAGGTAATATATAGAGCAGATCAGTTAAGCTAATTCTCTCCCTCACTCTTATTTCCAACCAATCTCTCTCACTCTTATTACCCTCCCCCTTTCTTTCCGTTACGCCCGCTTCAACTCTACTCTTGCTCTCTCACTCGCACTTGCTATTAAATTAATTAGGCCAACTGTTTCGTTGTTGTTTTCAACTACCTCTCCCTATAACCGCTATACAAGTGTTATACACGTCTAGACTAAGCTCTATACCTAACACAATCCAATCTTCTTTACCTTATATATGTAGCCCAGAGAAAGATCTGTAACTTTGGATGAATTCCTGCACCCATCGATCCATATACTATACCAGACAGATCTGTAAAGTTAACTAGGACAGCTTTATCTCGATATTTGAACATTATTTCAACTTGATCTCCAACTCGTAACACCCACCCACTCACACACACAGACACACACACTTTGACGTCGAATGCATATTTGCCACATACTGATTTTTCTACTTTGTATTTTAGATGCCCATGCCGGAGGCATGCCCCAACGAGTTTGACGACGACACCTCCAGTGGCAATGGGCAATTTGAGAGCGTGGACATTGGCAAGGAGGAGCTGTGCGAGGTGGTGCACTCGCCGGATGGCCTCAACGACTCCAGCGAATCGTACATCTATCCCGATAATCATCAGCTCGACGAGGATCCATTTCATGCCACGGCGGGAGCGCATGCCTCCACCTCGACCTCGTCGGCCCAGGGCCAATGCAATCCGAACGCCTTGGCCAGCTCGTTACAGGCGGCCAACGATGACGCCAGCTTTCTGCAGTATCTGAGCGATAAGTTCGGCAAATATAACTCCTATACCAAATACACTGTACAATATCATATCAATCGCATATTGTATAAGGCCGATATGGGTTGCTATGATAATGCCGACGCCTCCAAATTGCCCGATTCGTTTCCCTAAGGAAGCCAACTCCATTGAGTCTAAAGCACAACATGCCAAGTATATCTTGAATATGTAGTATATATAATATAGATGATATCCAGCTGATATCTGAATAATAAAAGTCTATCTTCTATCCATAAAATATAACTCAAATTTGTATTCGACCTAGCAACTGTAAACTATAACTTAGTCTATATGTATATGCGCTGTAACCAAGTCTTAACCACTTCTTATCCATTGGGAAATACTATATATCTCTCTCCCTCTATATGAATATATGTGTATTTATGTATGTATATAAGTCGCATCTTAATCAGTTTTAAATATCCTTTAACCTTGATAGCTCATTGGCCCCGCTGCTGTGGGTCAATCAGTTAGCAAAGTTCATTCGTTTAGGCACATAATCACACGCTCCATCCACCCCTACCCTCATTCCCCATCCCTGCTTAGCTTGGACTCAGCAGCTGCTGTCCAAGCATCCAACATTTTTGCTACTTCATGCTAATGAGAGACGCTCGCTAATGAAAGTAATACCTTTTTTACCTCTCACTCACCCTCCCCACGTCTCACATTCTCCCTCTCCCTTTTCGCGTGTCTGCATCGTCAGAGTCTCTCAGTTTTCTCCTTAAACTTGCCAAATTTTCAAGTTGAATCAAAGCAAATCATAGACCAATGTTTTTTTGTAGTCGACATATGTTGTGACTGGAATTCCCAGATATTTAGCACTTATCTGCGTAGTAGAGCTCTACTGTTAGCATGTGGCATGGGAAATATTTGCAATGAAAGTTCTCTAAATATAAATGTAAACTATATTTGTTTCTATAGTCTCTAGGTCAGCTTGATATATCGATACTTGGCAATAAAGTTTGATCTGAATATCCATGAAATATATTTACATTGTCTAATGTCCGTCTGCCTATCCTTGCGACTGTCCGTCTATTCGTTCATCATAAGAAAAAATTTTAAGCACATATCCCTTGTAGAACGTAACCATTATAGAATAACTGTATAAGTCCAATCGTGGCAATTGGAGAAGTCTAAACTGGAACAAATGTGATATATATTTCAATTGAACCGTGAGCGAGTACTATGCAGTCGTTCTCAACTATTGCTGCGAAGACTTTCACCCAAATCTATTTGGCTTATTTATAAATAGCAATTAGAAAACACATTAAGTTAATTAATGCGTTTTCTGTTTTCTAGTTTTTTAACAAGAACAAGAACAAGATAATTAATTGATGCGAAAAACTCATTAAACAACCTCAATTTCCGTAACAGAATTGAAATATACGAATTGATTATTTCCATTCATCCGCTGTGAGTGCATACGAAAGTCGTTGTTGGCGGACATACACACACACGCACACACACACAACTATGTATATGAACATATATATTTTGCTCTTCAAAACTCTGGGCGTGGCATGAAAAAAGAAAAGAGGGAAGGGCGGACTGCATTGATGTGCTGGCTTGTGGCTAAGCGGGCGCAATGAATGAAAAAGGGCCTCTCTCGACTCGTCTCTCTCTCTCTCGCTCTCTCATTCTCCCACACTATGCGTGCGCGCGTGTGTGTAAGTGTGTACCATGTACACAAAGTGAAAGAGAGTAACTGTGATGCCACCGGCCGGCAACACGGCTACGTACATTTAGGGCTTCGTCTCTGCCCGGCTTCGGCGAATTTTGAACCTGCCTGTCTGTCTGTCTATGTGTGTGTGTGTGAGTGCGTCTATGTATGCATGTATGCGTGTGCAGAGCTCGCTTAGTTAGCCCGCTAAGGGCGCTTTGTTCCTCTAACCCTCTGTAGCTTGTTTGGCAGTGCGCAGCGAAACTCGCATCCTTTGGTTGATTATTAAAGGTTCATTAACAAATATGCCGCATGCTGCATGCGACACTTAATGCAGTTCCAGTTCCGGTTCCAGTCTCAATTTCAGTTGCCGGCATCGTTCATTTTTCTGTTGCAGTTGAAATGCAAACAAAATACAGACAAGCGCACACACACACAGCCACACACAAACAGAGCGACATATACATATATGTATATATGTCCACACACACACAAGTATAGCTTGGCAAATGTTGAAGAAGTAGAACGTTATTAATACCAAAGTCGTTTACTTAGCTGCAGTCAGAGCTTCACACACACACACCAAACATCTTTTGTTGTAATTGCTGTTTTACACACATACACACACACATGACACACTCTATGTGCGCAGGCCAATGTACCGAGCTGAACCATTTTTTGAAAGTTCATGAATAGCTCCGCACCAAGTAAAGACTGGTATTGAAATTGGAACCGGAACTGGAACTAGTGCCAATGTGGCAGCTCAACAGTAATCAATTAGCAACAGACATAAGAAAGCTTGAGGCTTATATATAAAAGTCTATATTTATTTATTTATTTATATATATGATCAGGAAACGAGCTGACTTACCTTTGCCATGTCCATCCGTCCGTATGAACTCAGCGTAGCTTACTCATCGATTGATTGATTGATCGATTGATTATTAGAATGATTATGACTTATTATTTGACAACGTAATAAAGCTACTGATTAACAAGCAGATAGACTAATGGTTGACTGATTGAACTACTGACTGAGTAACTGCATGACTAAGAAAGTCTTAATGCATTAGCTGACTGAGTCTGACTGAACAATTGATTGATTGATTGATAACCTATCTGGACAACTGATAAAATAATTGATTGATACAGTAAATGACTGATTGATTGACTACTGCTTGATTGATTGATATTAAGTAAATTGAAGATTTGCAGAGCAGTTATTCAGTTATGCAATAAATTATCTAGCATCAGTCAATCAATCATTGAAATCTTTCAATTGCCTAACATTAATAAATGAATAATCGTTGAGAAATTTGTATAATTTCTCATGTTTGTCAATCATTTAGTCAATCAATACATATAAATTTTGTCAACCATTCAATCAATCAATCAATTATTCAATTAGTCTATAAAGTAGTCGTTCACTAAACTAGTCAATTAAATAGTCAGTCAATCAATCAGTCAATCAATAAATCAATGCAAATTCATTAGGATAGATTTCGGAGAAACATACAACACATGTTTGTATGTTTATCAATATAATTTGATTTTATCTAACAGTATGTGTGTATGTATGTACATATGTATGTTAAATGTTCCCTTATTTGTTTTCACTTGATTGTTTCTCGATGCACATTCATGACATATGTTAAAAGGTTAATCAGTCGTAATCTGCTTGATTGATAAGGATACTGTTGCTGATTGATATGTGTGTAGCGCTTAACGGGGGTGGGGGGTAGGATGACAGTCTCGAGCTGAGTGTACACACATACACAGGCACATGAATATAGCCAAAACTTCTATCAAATCTGTGCTCAAAGACAATTGCAATTTAAGCACAGATGCAAAGTAGTCGAGTGTGAGTATCTATAGATGTAAACACATTTATGACTAGCTCTAAGGGATGTAGCTAGAAAGTACGCGCACACACACACACGCATAGACACTACGCTTCGCTTTGGCTGAGCTAAACGAAATGTCGCCGCTGCTTCCATGTAATTCGCCTAGTTCGCTTCTTTCCTAGCTGAGTTTTGTTCTTGTTGCTGTTTTCGTGTAAATAAAATAGATGAAAATCAATTTGACGTGTCTTGAATTCTGTTTAAGGTTTAAAGAACTCGTTTCACACAAAAAGATAAAAACGAGCAAGCGACAGGCGACAAGGGACACCAGGGGAGACGGTCGACGAACGACTGACGACGGGGGCAACAGGGCGCAATGAGAGCGAACGAATGCGTGTGTGCGTGTGGCTGTGCAAGTGTGAGGGAGAGGGAGAGAGCAGCAGAATAATGGAAATAAACTCAAAACTCGAACTCGAACTCGATTTGTGTTCATGTGAGTGAGGAGCAGGAGTGGGGGAGAGATGACAGGGCGAAGCAGAGGCAAGGAGCAGGGCGAAAAAAAAAACATAACATAACATCACATCACACACACACACAATACATGGATATGCGTATGTAATGTTTTCGTTGTGCCGCGGCGACGCTATTAATTTTTTTTTTCGTATTTTAAATAAAAACATATGGGATTTACCTAGCATTAAGGGCGGCTCATAATTACATCAATCTTTTTGCCATTTACAAGGATATTTTAGAGCGATATGTGTGTGTGCGTCTATGTGTAAGTGTGTGAATGCTTAAGAATAGCAAAGAAATGAAGAAGACGAAGAAGTCCTCGTTGGACTTGTGACATAACTTGAGATTGGTTTGCCTTTGAATGACAGCACAGTTCATATAGGAGACAGAGAACAGAGACAGAGAGAGGAGAGTGTGTGACAGCGAGATGTTGTACACATTTATTACTAATTTATTTTTCTGTGCTTATCAAATAAATTGAAAATATTTCTGCGAAATATTTAATTATATTATATTTAGAATTATAAACGAAAATTAAACTAATCTAATTCATAAGCAACTGCTGATTATTATTACATATAGACTAACTCATACCCTGTTTATGCGCCCTAGAGCTTGACCCCAAAATTAAAACAAATATATATTATAAATTGAATACATAATATAATATATATATATATATATGGACTATGGACTATGGTAAAAAAGACAAGTGAAAACAATTGAATTTCCGGGCTTTATCTGTCCGAGCTGCAAGCCAGTTCATTCATATTTTTTACTCTAGCTGCGCTGCATTAATTGAATTCGCTTTGAAAAAGCAAATGGCAAGAGTTAAGTCAATCAATATTTTTCCACTGATTGATCGAATTTGAATGATAAATGCTGCAGCAATGCAAAGACAATGCAAAAATGGTGGATGAGTAGAGATGGGGAAGTTGGGGCTTATGTTGTGAAATGAAAGAGACAGAAGCAGTGCAGCACTTAATCAGTCAGTCACTCAGTCAGTCAGGCAACGGCAGTCAAAGTCAAAGCATCATAATGAACAAATCATCATCAACTAACAGCAAACAGCAAACAACAGCAGCAAAGGACTAACCTCGCCTTGCATTTACCCAGATGTCGAGCAGCGCATATGCACACACATATATTCACTAATACGTACATAGCTATAAAACAATAAAGTCTCGACTGCAGCAGCGAGGCGAACACGAACTAG